TGGACCGGTCCAGTGGACCGGTCTAACAATACTCCCCTCCCAAAGATCCACCTTGTCCGCAAGATGGAAAGACGACACCCTCCATTCCTTCTTCATCACAAACAGTAAGAACTTGAAGAGTTCGGTCCTTACACCTGTGCCCCGGCGTATACCTCTCGTCACATCTGAAACAAAGCCCTTTTGCCCTCTTCTCCTGTAATTCTGTCTCAGTGAGCTTCTTGAAGTTATCCCCACTCCCTCCTCCTACTGACTTCTCCTTGGTGATCTCATTAACCTGTAATCCTGTAATTCTGTCTCCTTGGTGATCTCATTATTGTTCTGCGATCCCGCCCGTGAACCGGTCCCGCCTGGACCGGCTGGACCGGTCCAGTGGACCGGTCTAACAATGACATACTACTTATTGGAAATCACAATAAGGAAATTGAAGTCCTTCTGACTGATTTGAAGGCCCAATTCTGTATGCGTAATCTTGACAAACTTACTGATTTCCTTGGCCTACATGTCACCTATACTTCTACTGGAATTTACTTAGACTCTCGATATGCTGCAGCTCTGCTAAACAAAGCTGGAATGACAGATTGTAAATCTGTCTGAACTCCTTTGCCTACCAAACTTCCTATTGTAGCAGTTGATTCAGCTCTCTATCCGCAACCTACTCACTACAAACCGATTGTTGGAGCATTGCAATATTTGACCAACACCCGACCGGATATTATATTTGTTGTTAACTACCTTCTCCAACTTATGCATAGTCCAAATCTTCCTCATTTTCAGCTACTTAAGAGAGTTCTTTGCTACATAAAATGCACACTTCAATTTGGATTGCCCATCTCCTGCTCTCCCCATAATCTGCAAGCATTTGCTAACTCCAATTGGGCAACTGATTGTACTGATCGTCGCTCTATCATAGGTTACTGTGCTTTCCTTGGTTCCACATTAAATTCCTGGAGTGTCAAAAGCAAATCATTGTTGCAAGATCTTCAACTGAAGCTGAATATATAGCTTTGTCCACAGCAGCTTGTGACATCCTTTGGCTCATAAGAGTTTTAACAGAATTCAGTCTCACTATATCTCAGCACACCAAACTTTTTTGTGACAATGTATTAGCTCTTGCTTTGGCAAACAATCTAGTCTTTCATGCTAGAACAAAGCATATTGAGATCGATGTTCACTTCATTAGAGATTGTATCAAACCGCATCAAATTGTTGTTCATCACATAGCATCCATAGATCAACATGCTGATTTCTTCACAAAACCTCTTAGCACTATTCAGTTTACTCAACTCCGCGACAAGTTAACAATTTGACCCATTGTCTACTCGAGGGAGGCTGATAAGACAAAATGTTAAGCTGCTGCTCTTATTGATAAAATACAGCTCACAGTCATTGGATGTCTGATCTCTCTTATCTGCCCTCCGATTGTTACCGTAGAATGATTCTCTCTAGTTGCAAATATCAGTTACCGTTTGAGAATTTATGAAGGACGTTGGATTGTGAATATCAAAGATGTGATCTCTGTTTTTGCTTAAACAATTACATCTTAGTTTTTATGTTGTTCTGTGTTTCTGTTTTTCATTGCAGGATTCTGATATTCATCACTTATATCTTCATTTATGTACCTGCTGATCTAATGTAATATTTTTTGTGAGTTATGTATGCATCTTACAGTATTGTTGCTTTTAATTCTGATCCAATGCAATGCTTGTGTCAGACAGTACAGGCGATGCAAATGTTGTCAACAAGTGAACTGAGCATTAAGTGGCAATTAAAAGGAAGACCGAAGAATCCTGTATTTGCAACTTTTGGTGGCGATTTGATACTCCAAGTGAATTCAAGATTCACCTTGAACCAAATAAGTGGTCAAGTCATCGAGCATGATGAGTTTTGGGATTTGTCTGCTTCATCTGTTGTTGGTCAGACTTACTTTTGGATTTCGAGGAGGCTTTTCTCTGCCATTGAAGCAGGAAAAGATACAATTGATGCGGTGAAGAGCATGGCGAGTGGCAGCTCATCTGAAAAGGAAAACAAGGAGATTTTTCCTGACTTGTCCGGAGACCCAACAAAGTTTTTTCAAAGGGACGATGGATTACAAAGAGATGCTTATCAGATTGCTTTGTTATTAGCTATCATCTATTTTGTTGTGCAGTTTCTGAGGGCAACTCTTTGACAGAATAACAGAGATTATTTTTAATTTTTGGCTTTGCACTAAACTTTGCTTTACTCAATGTAAAAATCACTTTGTGTTGCAATCAAATAGTTGTGGTTGATTTTGTGTGGTATTAAGCTCTTTCCTTTGAGTTTTATTATACTTCGAGTTTTACAAAACTTAAAAAAGAGAGAGAGAGAGAGAGAGATTAGTTGAATTATGAATAATTGTGTTTAATGAAAAGGTGGCAATTTTAAGTATTTAACACTTTCTTTTTTTTTTTATTTACTTGCTTGATTAAAGTACTATTATTAGAGCTTAACTTCAGCAAAATAAAATAAAATAGAGCATAAGTTTAATACTGAATTTAAAAGAAAATATAATTTTATTTTCAATATTCTACTAAAAAGTTGGTGGATACAATTTTTGTACTTATCCATTAAATGTTTAAAATCTAAAATTAATTTAAATACTTTGATAAATTTTAAAAAGTAAATTATTTTTTTTACAAGTCGTATTATTAATCAACAAGAATGTCATATTAAAAATTATTAAACAAAAATTAGTTTACAAAATTATTTTGTTATTATATAATTTTTTAATTATATTGTACAAAAAAAATTAAATTTTGAGAGAAGTTTATTTTAAAATTGTGCTCCCTTCTATTTTAAAGTTTTGGAAGGATAAATCTAAACATTTATTAATTGAATAAAAGAAGCTCCGGCCAACCTTCGGTGGACTTCTTTTCCGTCAACCCTAAACGCTCTCAGTCCTACCAACAAGACGGTGGCCCTTCCATTGCTTGAGAATCCGAATCACTCAAGCTTCTAACAATTCGTTTCGCGTAAGAATATCATATTCTCACTTTACTTCTAGGATTTTCACTGATTCAAAGAAGGTTCTTTTCTTTTTGCATTTTCCTTTACGAATTCACATTCTCATGCTCCGATACCCTCTACGCCATCTTCTGATTAATCTGCGCTCTCACATAGCTCGGATTTCATCTATTAAAGTACCTTCATTATCCAATTTCTTACCTCCATGTTCTAATAGTAGAGCGATAGCAGCTTTTGGATCACCTATCTCATCAAACTATTCAACGACTACAGTAAATTTGCCTTCTTTACTCTTTTCTGTTAAATATTTATGTTCATCGTCTTCTCAATGGAATTTCTGCAATTCCTCTAAAGATGTTTGTGAAAATGCCACAGCTTCCATATCAAATAAGGTTTATGAAAACATTATGTCTACTTATAGCTCTGATCAAAGCTTGGAGAGCGGTCTTGATGCCCTTGGACTGGAACTTACTACTGAGCTGGTAAATGATGTTATACACAGGCTTCGTTATGAAGAAAAACTTGCTTTTCGGTTTTTCACTTGGGCCGGCCATCAGGATGGTTACACTCATGATCACCAAAGCTTCAACGACATGATTGAGATCTTGTCCAGCACAGGGTTTAAAATGAAGCAATTTGGTGTAGTTTGCGATGTTTTGGATTATATGAAGAGAAAGAGAAAGAATTCAGTTCCAGTTGAGGCTTTGGTCACAATATTGAAAACATATAGTGAGAAGAAGCTAACACACATTGGAAAGTTTGCAAGAAAGAAGAGAATCAAGCCAAAGATTCAGCCAGAGGTTCAGTCCCTGAACTTGTTGCTTGATTCACTCTGCAAGTGCAGCTTGATTGTTGAAGCTGAATCCATATTTCATCGAGTGAAGCAGAAGATCATTCCTACTGCCGAAACATATAATATTTTGTTCTTTGGGTGGTGCAGGGTGAGAGATCCTAATAAAGCAATGAAGGTTCTTGAAGAAATGATTGAAAGAGGTCATAATCCTGAAAGCTTTGCCTATAATGCTGCAATTACTTCCTTCTGCAGCAGTGGAATGATCAAACAGGCAAGGGAACTATTTGAGTTCATGAGAACCAAAGGTTCGACAATATCGTCGCCAACTGCCAAGACTTACTCTGTCATGATCATTGCTCTTGCCAAGTTTGATATGATGGAAGAATGTTTTAGCCTTCTCAGTGATATGAGAGGTTGCGGTTGTCTTCCCGATGTGTCGACTTATATAGATTTGATCGAAGGAATGTGTGAAGCCGGAAAGATTGAAGCTGCCTATAAAATATTGGAGGAGATGGGTGAGAAAGCTTATCCACCTGACATTCTTACTTACAATTGTTTCCTTAAGGTGTTATGCAACATGAAGAAACACGAAGAAGCAGTGAGGCTTTGTGAGAAAATGGTGGAGGGAGGGTGTGAGCCAAGCGTTCATACTTATAATATGTTGATTGCATTGTTCTTTGAGATTGGGGATTGTAATGAGGCCTTTGGAATATGGGATGAAATGGAGAGAAGAGGGTGCTCGCGTTCTGTGGATAGTTATGGGATAATGATTGAAGGGTTGTTTGGTTGTGGGAGAGAGGAAGATGCTTGCTTGCTTTTGGAAGAGGTAATCGATCGAGGGATTAAGTTATCATATAAGAGATTTGATGCTTTGATGTCGCGATTATCGGAGATTGGAGATTTGCATGCCATTCATCGTCTTTCTGAGCATATGAGGAGGTTCTACAATGTAGCCATGGCTAGACGTTTTGCCATGAGTCAAAAGAAGAAAAGCATGAGCTTGAGAAGGCCATGAGTTCTACTTGTATGATCACCGATCATTAAAGAATGAGGTGGTGAAATATTTATGAGCTGTAGCATAGTCATTGATTTGTAGAGTTTAAGGTTTTGTTTGGGATGGCTTTCTCACTGCTTCCTAAAACAGCTTTTTAGTACAAAATTTTTATTTTTGTATTAAAAAATTACTTTAAGAAGCATTAAGAAAGTTGTCTCAAACTAAGCTTAAACTTGTTCCAAAGCATTTGACTTGTACTATTATGGATGAATAATTATTGTTCTTTTTCAAGTAATTTATGTTCATGCGCTAGTTACTCTTGTTAACTTTCAGGATCTTTAGCAGCTAAAGGCCAATAAAACATACGCACAAATGAATTTCTAGTTTGAAAGAAAACAATACAAATTATAGGCAGATATTAAAGATTTTGTTTCTTCAAATAGAATATAATATCCCGTACAATGTTTTGCTTAAGATACCTCTTCCAATTCGGTTATAGGTTTTAATGGGAAAATAAAACTAGGTTAAGATATCTCCACCTCCAATTTGATATGAAAGGATCCCAAAAAGATTAGATTTATTTTAACTTATTTGGAATATAAATTTTAAGCTTCGTTTGGTATATCTTTTTATTGCTTTTTAAAACAACTTTCTAGCTTAAAAGCTATAATTTTTATACTAAAAAATTGTTTTAAGAAGCAATAAGAAAAACCGCAGCAAATGAAGCCTTAGTCAATCAATCAAAAACAGGAGCAAAATAAACTCTCCTGTGTGAAGAGATCAATTCCACTCTATTAAACTAATAAATGATTATCAAAACGAAAGCAAACAATCCAAAAATCTAGATACAACCAAAGAAAAGAACCAGAAAAAACATTAAATTATTCTGAAAATATATTCTTCATATAAATATTTAAAAGAAAAAAAACTTATTCTGCACATCAAACTAGTTTCCTGCGATCCTACAGCAAGTAAAAGATACAAATGAGATCAATGTAGTTCTCTACTGGTTTGAAATTCTGAGAGAATACCTTCCCATAAAAACTGCAAAATCACTGGCCTTATGTGGATCCAAAAGGATGATACAAACAACAAAACACATCACAAAACTACCCATTACAAATAGAGCAGGCAATCTCGTTGTAATCGGAGGAGAGAACATTTTAGTCATCCAATACTTGGAGGGCCAATAAGAATGCAAGTGCAGGAAGCTCATCATACTGCAAGTTGTATCTTTCGGTAGTAGAGGGTTGCTTTCATCACCATCTACAGAAAGCATAGTTGCAGTTGAAACCAAAGCATGTCCATTTCTTCTTCTCTCCTCAGCCTGGAAGAAGATAATTTATTTCAAAATAAGTAAAATTCATTCCAGTCCATTATCTACAAATCATCATAGGAAGTTGAACTGTAACAGAGAAAAAAAAAACTTAAAATGGAGTCTGTAGGCATGGCACGCATAACATGCTTAAGCAGTAGAAATCATATTCATTTAAGTATCAACCAAAATAGAATATCACAATGGACTTCAATGGGGCAAAAGTTCGAAAGAGTATAAAATAAGCTCATCCGATTACCAGGAAGTTATGCAAACTAGAAAGCCCAATGTAGTAAGTGTCTAAGTGATAAAAAAGATTATTATTATCTTAGTTTGCATATCTTCTTAGAAAAACCACATCCAGCTGTATCATGATTCCTTTGGCTAAGATTGAGACTTTTTTTTTTAAGAACCAGAACAAATTTGTGGATTCTTTGCCTTGTCAAATCAATAAAGTAGCATGAAAAATGACTTTTTTTTTTCTATAAATAAATTAACTTGTAAGTAGTTTTAAGATAAAGTTAATGACCAGGAATGCTAATATCAGGGTAGAATATCTGGAGCTATGACTAAGAAAGTACAACCATTTCGTTTTTCTCACGAGAATTTTTTTTAAAAAAGAGAATTATTTCATGCTCAAGATGAACCCCTATGCATAAAAAAAGATTAGTCATAACTGAATGTAACATAAATTAAAAAATATAAAGAATTAGTGAGATAGGAGTGGTACACTAACCAAATCTGCATTTTCTACATGGTTTATTGGCAAGGTTTCCAAAAAATTTGAGCGCCCTGCATTTAGTATTGTTCTTTCCTTGTGCTGAATTCTCTGATTAAGAAATTCTCTTGCAATTTTCATGTATTCTAAAAGCTCACCAAAATCAGAACTCACAGTCAAATTTTCAGATTTCTGAAAACCAACCTCATAAATCATAATACTCGCATTCTTTAGTATCACTTTCAGCACACTGATTAACTCATTCTGCATTGAAAACTGTAAGATATATTTTAATCTCTGAACATTCAATGAACCCAAAAATGATTTATTATAATCCTTGCAAGGCTCATTGAGCAGCCAAGCAATATCCACCAGTAGATCTGACATATCTATCTGTTTCGTCACATTAACCTTACTGAAAACCGCATTGTCAAAAACTGCATTTGACACACTGTTATCTTCACGGGCATTTGGATAGTAAGTTAACGCACCATGAAAATTTTTTAGTTCAGAACATAACTGCTTGTCCCCAATAAGAATAGGAATAAAGTTGGATATTCCTGATTCGTTCTCAACCTACAACATAAAATGTTGATAAAATCAAATCCAATTGCGAAAATAGGTAAAAGAGAGCATTGGCCCTAATAAGAGAAAAGATGGTACAAAGCGGGCTTAGAAGTTCTATTATCATTCCATGCAATGGTTGAAGGTGCTCAAATTCATCAAACTCAAGAATATCATATATTTATAAATTTAGGATGATGGTGCAAAATGAAAGGTGGCTGAAAACTACAAATTGATAAGGGACAGAGAAGGTTGTGCAAAACAAACCTCAATGAATGCAGGGCCAAATACTTCTGGGGTTGTCTGCTTTATATTTATCCTAAACATTTCATGCCCACAATCACTGCTAGAAACCACTGAATTCACACCATAACATCTGACTTTCTCATTAGAAATTACACGGTAAGCACTACATAGCAGATATTTTCCACCAAAAGAGACAAGAAACCTGTCGTGGCAGACAAGATATTCATTTACAAAGTTATAGTCTGTAAAATAAAAACATTTAGCATCTGAAGATCCAAGAACTTGCACATGCACATGCTAAATATCAAGTGTGTCTATATATATATATATTTATCTCCAAAGGGGAGTCCTATTTTATTTCGGAGAGTTGACGTGGCACCATTAATGTGGAAAATAATTCCGGCAAATCAGCTCAGTTAAAATCAATTTCCAAAAGACTAATCATAAGAGGCCAAATTAGGCAATAGAAAAGATGATCCAGATCATTTACTTAGCCTATTTTCATGGCAGTTTCATGTATTTCCATGCTTGGCTAAATTTTGCACTTAGATATCTTATTTATTTTTGGTTTAATTTTGATGTCATAAATAATTATGTTGATCAACCATGAATCTCGATGTATATTTGAATTGAAAACTTTCAAAATTAAATTTAAGGCCATCCAACTTCTGATTTGAGCAAACTTAAAGTCAAACTAAACATCTAAATAAGGTGATCCAATCTGAGTTTGAAATGAGCTCAAATCAAGCACATGAAGCATAATTGAAAACTTCAAAAATTAATTGTGGAACCAAATAATCTCAAAAGTTGACATGCTTATAGTCAACTCGAAAGTCTCAACAAGCAAATCTAATAAATTCAAGATTGCTTAAATTAGACATAATTAAGACACTTAAATGCTTAGCAAATACTTTATGATCAAGAAAATTAATATGGGTTATTTGATAGAGTGTTCAAAATTTTCTCTATATTTAGAGGCATGTTATTCTAAAAAATCTATAAATAGATCCACACTCTTTACATGAGGGGGAAGGAGCCTGAACTCTGAAGCTTGAACTTTGGATTGAGATTCAAGAGACCTATGAGATTTTAATGATCCCAGAGTACCACATGAACACCACCGTTGGGCTACAATCATACCATCACCGTTGAGCCTTCTTCGGTCGACCACGGTCCTCTAACAACCAACCATAGCCATAATACGGTCCTCTGACCACCATCGCTCGACTACGGTACGCAAGGCCACTGTCAGTCCATCGCTGTCGAGTCTTTGTCGGCCAACAACTACGGTCCCTCTACAATCGTAACTAGACAACCATTCTTCGACCACCATTGCTCGAATACAGTCTACCGACCACCGCTGCCCGACTACGATTCGCAGACCACCATCGCCTAACTAGGGTTTGTCGACCAACATCACCTGACCACAATCAAGAAACTACAGTCCTTCAACCACTGTCGCTCGGCTACAATCCTCGGACCACCATTGCTCGACTACAGTCTTCTGACCATCGTCGCCAAATGCAATCCTTCAACATCCGTCGTCAACAGATTACAGTTCTTTGACCATTGTCGCTCAATTATGGTCATCGAACTACCATCACCCAACTACAATTTTTTCAACTACTATTACCCAACTATGATCCTCCGACCACGGTCACTCTACTATGTTCCACCAAACACTTTAGATTGACTATAATCCTTTGGTCACTATTGCCCAGCTACGGTCTTTCCGACCTCCATCACCTAATTATGATCATTAGTATCGCCCGACTATAGTCCTTACGACCACCAATGTCTGACTACGATCGTTGTCCAACTAAAGTTCGCTAACTTACAATCTCCGGACCAATGTCACCTGGCTACTTTGACGCATACTAACTTCATCACCTACCAATCACCAATAATGCTAACACAGACTATCACTTAAATTGATGCATGCCACCAATATCAACTTTAACTCTCAACTTTAGCATTATGATTTATGCTAGATTTCATGATTTCTAGTCTTTTCTTCTCAAACGAGTAGTATGACAAAACAACAAGCAATTGAACTATTAAAAATAGCTCCCCTGCTATGGGGCTCTTCCAACTTCAAGAGTGTAACATGTTTTTCACATTGTATCAATGCCTTCTCTTGAGAAAGAGTATCATTTGTAATCAATTACAAGCACTAGTATAATGATTTTAACTGAGCTAGGCCATTTGATTTTTCTCTTTCCTGAGTTTTTCATAACATGTTACCTCTCTTATTTGTACGTGTGTTGGATTTCCATACAAACTAAGACATTAAATTTTTTATCTCTCTATTGTTGCAAATGTTCTGATACTCAACAATTTTGAATTTAAAAAAGGATGGGGGTAGATTGACCTTTAATGTGTTTTTTGGTTTCTTTAAAAAGGCATTATATACAGAACCTTAATCAACATTAATAATATTAGCAAATGCATGGAAACCTCAATCCAAGCTCCATCACCATTGGTAATCTAGTAAGAAGCCATAGTTGGAGGATAGACTGAGTTGCAAGTGTGGATTCTAAATCGACATCATACCTAGAAAAAAATCCTTTCGAAACCATCTCATCATTCCCTCTTCCTCTTGCCTCATCACTCAAGGGTTTCCCACAAACTGCAAGACCTTCTGCAACACCTCCAAATTCAACTTTTACAGTGTAACCTTTTGTATGTTGTAGAGACAGATTTTGAACATTTAGGCATTTTTCTAGAAATTTTGCACTGCGTATTTTGAAATGTGCATTATTTTAATTAATTAAAAAATAATCCTGAACTCAGAAGATAGCGTTGTAGTATAATTAAAGCCTGAAAAAAGTTTATTCATAATTCCTCATAATTTGGTTAAATTATGAAATAGTATATTTTTGTTGCCTACCATTATATCATTTAGGGAAATTTTGGAATTTGCATATTTTGTTTTAATTACTTTAATGAAATGAATTATATGCTTTACTATTTAAAAATGAGAAATTTTGAGGATGTGGTGGAAAAGAAGGAAGTTTGCTATGGTGGTTGAAATCTATGCTGTAGTGCCTACGAGCATATTATGATGGCTAAAAGATATATTTTGGTGCCTACAAGCATATTCTGGTGCTATAAGCACATTTTGTTTTAGTGATGGGCATAGAGAATTCTATACAGAAATTTTGTTATTTATTTCTCTGATATATGAAGTGTCTGTTTATTAACTTTCCTACAATAAAAATTTAAGTTTTATGATTGCATGAATGATTTCATTTAGTGCATTTATTATCTTGAAATACTTTTACAATTCAACAACTTATTGTAAAAAATAAATCATTTGGAAATTCAAATTGGTTTAAATGCGTCATACTGAGCTATGTTAACTCACAGATGTTTCTCTTTCTATCTTCAGGATCTGATAAGATGAAATGGCTAGTTGAGTAACAGTTTTAGTATCTAATCCAAGTCTATATAGGTATTTTTCTCTTTTGATTTTGTATAGTCATGGCTAGTCTATTGTGTTCTATTTTGTACCCTGGTTTGTAGCCATGTACTGGAATGTAATTATTATATATACATTTTGATGAGAAAATAAAAATTTTGTGGATAAAATTATTTACAGTACTAGATGTTATTAATAACTCTATGGTTTGTTGTTTATTTTAAAGTTTATATTAGAAGAAAATATGAAAACTTTTCAAAACTTAGATCTTGAGATTTGCATGTTGCAAGCCAATACAATAGGACTTGTTCAGCCTATGGGTCTTATCGAATTGGGTTATGATAAGCCTTTTTTGGTATCAGAGCAATAATTTTGAAAAATGATCATAAAATAGAGCAATATGAATTGATCGGTAAGTTAAGGTTGTTTCGGGTCTATTGGGGCATTCATTTTATTTCTTTTCGTGTGCATGTATGTTTATTTGTATTTTGTGTGATTATGGATCCACAAGGGCCCAATATGACAAACAAGACAGAGTGTTAGTCAGGCAATGCCAATACCTATTACTACTCTGACAGTCAGTTCGGATATATTTTCACAGTTTGCTAGTCTAATAGTTTAGTTGATGGGCAAAGCACAGAGCAGAGTTTCTACTATTAAACATGTAGAGGTAGACTAACATATGCAGATGTTTTTAATATTGAAGCATCTAAAATTTGAGGGTGTTGTGAAGCTCGGCAGTAGAGGACTAGTTCTGGAGGCTAAAGAAAATATAATAACTTCTTCTCGACTGCCTCGACCTCAAGCCTGCAGCCACCACAGCTATGGTTGTAGTCGGGGATCACTTGGAAACTGCGCACCATCACCATCTCTAAAAATTTTGAAGTATTACTCTCATCTTTATATTGATGACAAATATTCATGAAAGAGAAAGATGATTGAAATAAATGAAGTAGATGGGAAGGCATTGAACTCCATTAGATGAGGCAAAAGAGAGATCAATTTGTTATGACAATGACTTAGATAAAGGCCCCTCAATGATGACAATGTAGATGATATATGAATTGTTGTCAACTAATTCAATTTTCTTAAAAAATTAAATGTGGATGAATAGGAAACTGGGGAAGGAATTTGGAGTTAAACTTGATGTTACATGATACTTTAAAATTATTTTTATATTTTATATTGTTTTACTCTTGTAATGTTTGAATTTCAATTCTATTTCACATAATTTATCATTTATCATTTTACGTCTTATATAATTTTCTTTTCATATGTATGTCAATTTATTACTTCATAGTTCAATAGAAAATTAATATGACATTCATATTATTATTTTATTTTATTTTTTTTTAAAAGAGCAACAAATTGCATTAATAACTAAGAAACAAACCAAACTACAAAGTAGATTCCTCCTTTAACAAATTAAAGAAATAATGAGGAACCTTATTCAAACTAAAATCTTCTCAAATAAAATTACTAATGAGAGCAAAGTTAGCATACATGTCAGCTAACTTATTACTACTTCTATCCATACAATTAAAAATAACATAACTAAAATCCTTGAAGAAATCTATGTCTTCCACCTTGAAGCCATCAGTCAGAGCGTGTTGAAGACATTCATATTATTTGGGCATTATATAAAAAATCATTTTAATCTTCATTTTCACTTTAAATAATTTTTGAATTTTGAGCCTTACACCTCGTCTCACGAACAAAAAATGCTTTAATACCTAATTACGCAATTTTAAACCTTGGTAAGAGGTCATATTATTGGACATAAGGATTCTCGTCATATTCTCATTAAATTATACTAGGAAGCTGATTACTCGAAACTCATTTCTTGGAGATATTACATGGATTGACTCCTAATGTATGCTTAACTAATACCCTCATTTTTTTTGTTTCGAGGAACCTCTGATTAATCAAGTTTTAAATTTTTTCTCATGTCTTTAGATTCACTACTACAACCAATCCACTATGTTCTCTCTAGGCTCAATTTTTGATAAACTACTTAACGCAGATATTGCTATTGCCAAGCTTTTTGTGCTATCAATGGCTAGGGCTTTGGTCGAAATAGGTATTATTACACCTTCGAGAAAAAAAATTAGATTTGCATCATAGCCAATGACTACTTGTAAAAAGTTGAGTTTGAAGGTATTCCTCCTCACTGTTCTTATAAAATATGTGGGCACAACTTCTCAAGATGTTTCAAGGCACCACCCAAAGATGCATAAATCTCCTAGCAACAGTTGTAATGGGAAATATTCATCTGATAAAAAAACTCTCTTACAGTGCAATGATCATAGTTCCATCTTCTTCTAATCTGCTTTGTCCATAAAACTTTGAATCAACTTTAAATAATGCCTAAGAATAAGTACCTTCCTGGATTGTTAGCCCAATGATTGAAGATGACCCAGCACCTACTCACAAAATGGAAGATCTAGACCCAAATGGGGTTTTTGCCCCTGTTGGTCATCTTGTTATTAGAGACATAAGATATCTGAACTCTCAATTGATTGACTTCGATGTTAGCTTTTATTGCATGAGCTAGACGGAAAAAAAAGGGCAAGAAAATATGTTGTCACTCTCCATAATATACAATGATTCGGGTTAAAAACTTTTATGAGGACCCTTATGGTTCATCTCTTCAAGAAAATAGGACATTGGCCAACTGTGATCTAATATTCAGGATATTTGAATAGGTAAAATCTCAAAAATTTATCCGAAATATTATATAACCCATTTTTACACATCTCAAAAGTTAAAAATAATATTTTTATGAAATCTTATAAATTGTATTAATCATTTTAGTATATATGTTCATATAAGAAATTGTGATTATATAAGCTTATATAAATTAAAATGCATTTTAATTAAATTATTTAAATAAAACACAGCCTTTACTGTTCAGTGGGTTGATGTACTGTAGCAGTCTAGTAGAATAGTGAATTCGGAAATACACTCAGCCCTCCATGCAACGGTGGTGATGAAATTGGATGGCTGTGACAAAAATTTGATAAAAGGGTATTAGTATACGTAACTATTCATGTATACCCACTTATATATAAAGCATTTAGTTATTCCATTCCATAACCTTCAGTTAGCGAAAAAGAGAGGCACAGCCGAAAACGAAGATAGGGAGAACAAAAGAGGGCGAAAATGTTGGGATTTAGAGATCCAAACTGATTTTTCGTGATTTCTTTTGAGGAATTGACTACGTGTTAAAGAATGTTGACTGTTTTAGTATCTTTTTAGTATAATGGATAGAAATTTTATTTTGGTTGAAAAAGTTTCCGCTCTAATGAGTTATGGAACTTTACACTTCTTCCAATTTATAATTTATGGTATACAAAATGATTATTAGTGGGATTTATCTCTATTCCCCTTGTGTCAACCTAGAGGGGTTATTGTGGGGCATGAAATGTGAGACATGCTTGTGTATTTTGTTTCTAGTTCTTGTTTTCATCAAGCAATACGTATTTTAATCTTTTCATTGACAGATAATAAAATTTCATTTGCTTTAAAAAACAAAAATGCATGAAGATCTCAGCACAATATCTTCAAGGTTGTTCCTTATCCTTAATCCTCCAATTGATCCAAGTTATGCACATGAATTGCTACAAAATTTGTACGAGCCTTTCTATACCCTTCTTCCTTTAGATTGGCATACATCAGAACTTCATTTATATATATATATATATTTGGATTATCTCCTCATTTTCATCAAAAAGACAAAAATTATGGACTCCAAGGCCAACTCCTATACATCCACATAAGGCCGCAAGCAAAAGCTTCTTCTCTTCCTTATGGAAGCCAGCCAATGGAAGAATTTGAAAACAAAAGCTTAAATTACCCTCCATCACAGGTAATTTAGATGCATAGAGAAAATCTCTAATACGTTTACTGTAATTGCCGACTAAGTCAATGCATGAAATCATTGCCTAACACTGTGATTCAATGTATAAATGGTATTAAAGAGCTTGGACAATACAATTTGTTCACAAACTTCCAATGAAGCTATAAGGAATAGTGACGAACACTAGATGTTAACAGCGAAAATTCAAAATGCGTGGTTACATAGAAAGCACAATAATATCCGCTCAATTACCGTAACTTAGGCTGATCAAGGTTACTCCCACAAGCAATAAATTCCACCGCTTTCCCAGCTTCAAAATAAGTAGGATGAACATAATGAAGTCTTGGAGCATTCACCTCCATCTTTATATGTGATGTCCCATCTAGTTCACAAAAATTAAAATTATTATATTTTCGTTTTTCTACTTTAAGACAAACGCTGACTTCTCAAACAAAGAAAAATAAAATAAAACAAATAATCGAAGATAAGCTCAACATATTATCAGATGGCAAACGCATTTGAAATATGTAAACTGAAACTTCCCATATGATTATTTAAGGTAGTTAAAATTTTAATCAGTGTTATAACATACTATCTAATGCCATTTTTCTTAAGCAATTACCATATAGATTAACCACTCGTTGAAGAAGCAGAGTATTAAAATCCCTCAAGGAACTCAGAGCATGTAAGTTATCCATAAAATCATTGAGTAACAAAGAATTCCAAAATAATGTGACCCCAAAGGCTCTTCTCAAAACTGGGTTTGACTAATCAAATAATCAGACCAAATGGGTGAACAAAGACGGTGTAATAATCCATGAGGCTCTAAAAATTATAAAAAATAACCTCGAAAGGCAAGGACTTAGCTTCCCATGCTCAAACTTGAATCTCTCAAAATCTCTTTCGTGATGTGGCCTCAGATTGGCCGCCATCCTCTCTCACATCCGATATGTTTCATGCATGAAGTTTGAGATATAATAAGGGATAAGAGGAAAGGTTGTCATTGCAATTTATGTCTATTTTCTTATTCTTGTACTCCGCAATCCTTTGCACGAAATATGCAGAGGTAAAACCTAAAACTTAAATCATAAAACCTTAACATAATTGTCCTACAAATTCTAAAAGCCTTCCGCATCCATAATCCTGAGAAGAGGTGAAATATGACACATTGTAAGGGATTATCACTTGCATTCGAATATCAGAGCACAGTTCCAACCTGTAGGAATTTCATGTAGCAAGGCTAATAACTAAGATGGATACCCTTAATGGTCCTATGGAATCAAAACCTCAAGCATTAGACCAAATCAACCAAGGCAAGAGAAGCCAAATGTTGAAAGGGATTGTCTCCGATCTCTCCAAAACTTAAACACAGCTATCTACTCAGATGACCGACATCATGATGACCTTCACAACCCCCAGTGCAAGGAAAGCTCCTTGGGCACCATCATCCATTCCCACCAATATAGGGGCATCCGATAAGGCACCAAAACAACCTGTTGAGGAGAAAAGGGGAAGAACAAAAAGGATACTCGAGGAGTGAAAAAGAATTTCCCTTTTAAAGTTAATGCGAAATTGGAGTTGCCTTTGATGGCATCATGAAAACTGAGGTAACTGACAATCGGTTTATGCTTCTCAAATGCTATTTCATGGTTTGCCATCAACTTGTTAGTAAAATTGCATTTACTCATTTGAAGTTATTCTCATAGGCTTTAGTGTGGTGAACTTCTCAATCTAAGAATTACGACAAATCAACTTTGACTTGATCGGTGTTAGAGGGGAAAAACAACTTGGTGTTTTTTTCACTAGAAATCACTCATATTTATAATAAGGCAACTCGTACAATATTTTAGGATAAGCTCAAATAACATATACCGCTATCTAAATATAAAGAGCTTTCTTGTTTTTATCTTATCATATGCTAACCCACCCCTGCGCACATCTCAAGCTGGATTATACATATGTGTTAGCTCCAAATTTTCACATTATCAAGAAAGGTAAATAACCCAATGATTTTGTAAAATATTGGCCTCTTGTTCTAAAGTAAAGGACAATCCTCTCAAGAAGTATGATATCCTAAATGAAATGCCAGTCAACATCAATATGTTTGCTTCATTAACGGCAGGGTCGCTGGCAATATAGATGATAGCAATATTGTCACAATATAGAAACATAGGTTGTGTAATTGAAAAATCATACTCTCATGAAACATTTTCACATTATTTCACATTAAAAATAACAATTTCTTACTTTTCTTGGTTTACATGTTGCCCAATAAAAAATATAATATGAATTCTTTCTTCAACTGAGACAGTATAATCGTCATCTAAGAATGCTTCCACATTAAAAGTTGTGGTCTTAGTGACGCCGGAGCTGATCTGATCAATCCTGTTTAACTTCAGGCTAGTTTTAATTCCAATTGGTAGATATATGGATGTATAGAAATAATACTTTCTTTTATGGCATGTAGCCTTTTATGTTGCCTAATTGTGTCTATAAATACTTGTAGCTATTGCTTGCAATGACAGCTTTTGAGATATGAATAGAATTTGAGTTTAGTTTGTTCGTTTTCCTGTATGCTAAGAGTTATTCTTAGGTGGTGGATCCTTCCTCCAAGAAGTTCTTGGAGTTATCCGGTCATGGCCACCGGATCATCGACGTGGATTCGTCGAGCCCCTCCAGTCCGGTGTCATTTGGTATCAGAGCTGGCAAGCTGCTGGCGTTCTTGTCCGTCGCCGTGTCGCCTCCTCCACCGGCATCATTTGGTGGCGACCCGTCTTCGGTGGCGAATCAGACTCAAACTGCCTCCATGAATCGGCCTCATTTGCATTCTTGAGTACGTTATGCTTGCTATCTCCAAACAACTCATAATCCATGCCTCTCCCGCTCCAAGCAGCAATCCCCACTCGCACTCAGGAGTCCAGCGTTTCCAATCCCTGCCTTATCCTGCAATTGGCACTTTATTTCTCCTTCCAATAGTCAAGAAGGACGGTCCAGTAGCCAAGAAAGGGCTGTCTTCTTCCAGCAGACTTCAAGACAACAACTCAAGAACCATAAAACTTCAACCAGCTGCTGCGGTTCATCCTCCACAGCCATTTGCATACACCCGAGAGCTGTTTCCAAGAAGCAGAATATTAGTCGCCTATCCTGTTCTAGTCTACAGCAGGCATTCCCTAAAATCTTGTTTCAAGACAACATGAGTTTCTTCAAGACAACAGGTGCAAGAACCCATTACATATCAAGAAGAGGGAACATGGGGTTGATCTTGTACCCATTAACACCGATAGCCCTCTTGACCGGTACCAGTTGCCAAGGCGCGCAGGTCTGCAAGCCTCCTTCGACGATGTTTTCTTCCTTGCCAAATCGGAAGTAGTGACAGGAGCCTGCTCGGTGAAAGGGGTTTAGTTTAAATTTTGCTCAAATCCTACATTAATCTTGTTGCCAAACAACAGCTGAATGAAAAATCTCAAAGGTAGTTTTTGAGTTTAGGATCCAAAGAAGAATTCTGTTTCTTGAGCGTCCTCTGTTCTTTCTTCTATATCCTGATTTGAATTTTTAGGTGGTGAAGAAATCAAAGTGCAACCCCTAGAAACTAAGGCAGGATAGGAAGGTGGAGGTGTTTTAGAAGTCCGACGGCTAGCTAGACTTCCAGCCAGCAGGTGTTCTTCCTCGGTGGTGTGGGCTCCGAAAATTCGGCCCCGGCCTCCGCTCGCTTTTCATTTTATTCGGCGAAGGAGTTTTAACTGAATAAGTTCCGAGGTAAATTTTGGAAGGCAGATGGGTTTGTAGATAAAACACTACCCATAGATTTCGCCCTCATTTTGCGAGGACTTTATGATCCGAGTTCTGGTTTCCTATAGGCGCAAGCCCCTATAGTTAATTACCCCTCCCGATCACTAGAGAGAACTTTCGATTAAGGCTAGTTGTCAATCAGATACGTAAAGAATACGTGTTATTTGGCATATAGTAGCAGCAATGGATTTGGATTTGAAAATTGTGTCTGAATTTGGGTATTTGGAAAGTTTAGAAATTTTGGAGATTGAAAATTTTGATATTTAAAATATAAACTTCACCATCTTGCACTTAAAGCGGATGGTGGGGGAATGGATGATAGACCCGATCAAGATCCCATGGTTCCGTCATCCCAGGCTATCGTGGTCCCTGGTCTACTTAGTCAGAGAAGGTAGTCGACCCAACCTGACAGAATGATCCTTGTCGGCGCCATGGGTTGCTTCGTCCAAGGGGACCTTGTAGACCGGGGTTGAATGTTTGTCTAAGGGGACAAATTTGAATCCACCTTAGCTAACAGAGGGCTTTGTGCCCTATCGATCATATCCTATTGATTCATATCTCAAGGATTTGATGCCAATAAGGAACGTAACGGTGCTGGCCATAACCGGTATTTCGTGGTGCCATTTGGCGGCAAAACCACTCGGTTCAGAGGGCCTCGGGTCATAACCGTTTATCCTGCGGTGCCATTTGGTGGCGAACCACCGGTCGGAGAACACGTACCACGTCCTTATCGGCAGGAGACTTTTTTGAGAATGGATCCTAGTGATATTTTCGACTAGGCATTTGGCTCTTTGCGAGCTGAAGTAATTTTTAACTTGTCTGCCCCGACAAACTGTTGCGGAGGGTGGATGGATTTTTCTTTAAGTTTTTGATGTATTTATTTCAACTTTTAAATATTTTTTGGAGTTTTGAGATTTTTGGAATTTTCTGGGATTTTGGGTGGAGCTTTGGAGCATTTGAAATGGAATTTTGGTGAGACACTTGAAAGTATTTGGGATCCCCTTCGGTTGAGATCTGTATTCAACACGGCTATTATCGGGTTGTTTGGGGTCATTTCTATTTGTAGCTTGAACCTTGTCAACTCAGCCGAGCTATTGACTGAGGATCGAGTTTCGTGGGCTTCGTGCCTTTATTAGTGAATTCATGTTGTTGTAGGTCTTGAAGGCATAATATGAATGTTTTAAAACAAATATACCGGTCGCCATATCTTTATATTTGCTTAATGGTTCGAACCCTGTCGACTTCTATTGACCCGTATAGAAGGATCGGTTTCGAACCTGAATTCACTTGTCAACCCGCGCAGCATCCCTAGACGTCACGTGTGTACCAATAATACGCTCGCCGGGGCCCTTGCGGGTTTGGATTGTATTTTCCCCTTTAGTGTACCTACGTGTATACAAACTACGGTGCACGTGCGGGGGTATTCTTGGAATAGACGCCTTCTGTCTGCTTGTACAAATGTTGCAGATCCGGTGGCGTGGTGTAGCAGCTTCTGAATAAAATTGTTCGCTGCTTCGTACAGGTAGACTGTCGTGCACTACTCATTGCTTTCTGCAGGTGGATCGTAGTGCACTAACTAATCTCCTGCCTTGG